TTTTTTCGAATTTTCCCCATTTATTTTCGATTTATTTTTTTAGAGTCTTAAAAAAAAAAAAAAAAAAAAATTATGATGTCGAACCGTGAAAGAATTCAAGCCTTGGAGGATAACATGAAGATCATCGGTGATGGTCAACATGCTACCAACGAGAACTTGGGAAGGATCGAACTAATGGTCCAGGACTTGGCCGGGCAACTAACGCGCATGAACACGCGGCCAAGAAGAAGACACGGGTCGCGGTCCACGGCAGTGAGCACCGGGACCGAGCGCGAGGATGATCGCCGATCGCGGGGCTCGCACGCATCACACGCAGCACACCACCGCGACGGCCAACGACGACACGAGGGACGCGCACATCACGACCGTAGGCGCGAAGAAGATGACGACCGGCAGTCGTACGCGTCATACGCATCGCGGGCCACACGCGATGAACGCCGAGCGCGACGCGATGACCGAGAGCGCTACGACGAGGATCGGCGACGGCGCGAGGGGCGCGATAACCGACGTCACGAGCGCGATGAGCAACTGGACGAACGGGCAGGTACGCGACCGAAAATTGTGATGCCCACGTTCACGGGGACAGATCCGGACGCATGGTTGAGTCGAGCTGTGCAATTCTTTGAGATCAATGATGTGCCAAGGTACGAACAAGTACAAATTGCTGCTTATCACCTTGATGGGGAAGCAAACGTTTGGTGGCAATGGGTGATGCACAAGAACCATGGCGAGTACATGCGATGGAGAGATTTTGAAAAGGAGCTTATCACGAGGTTTGGCTCGAGTGACTACCACGATTACAACGAGGCTTTGTCAAGGATCAAACAAGTGGGTAGTCTAAGGGATTATCAAAAAAAGTTCGAGCGAATCGCTAGTAGGGTACGAGACTGGCCCGAGGCTGCGTTAGTAGGAACGTTTGTTGGAGGACTTAAAGCTGAACTGGCAGCCGAAGTGAGGTTGGACAGGCCAGGCTCGATGCGAGCAGCCGTTGAGTCGGCCAGATTGCACGAGGAACATCTTGTGGCGGTACGCAAGGCCAAGCCGAGCGACGCGCGCACAGAGACCAAGCGCACGAACGCCGCAACCGAGGAACTGGCAGGGCGAACAGAGAGCAAACCGATGGGCGAGATTGTTCGAACGACGAGCAACATACGATGGCTTACCGACGAAGAGATGCAACGACGACGAGAAAAAAGGCCTTTGTTATTCGTGCAACGAAAAATTTACGCCAGGCCACAGGTGCAAGGGTAAGGAGGTCTTTTTGTTGGAATTTGAGGAACAAGAACCACGAGAGGAATCCTTACTACATATGGTTAAGAGTAAGAAGCGTGGTCCGAAGATGATCACATTCACGGCTGAAGTGGGAGGAAAATTAGTGGAGGTGTTGGTCGATAGCGGATCTACGCTAAACTTCATTGATGAGGAGTTGTCTAAGGAAATCTAGATTCCATTCACCAAGGTAAAACCTTTTGGAGTCAAGGTTGCAAACGGAAAAACATTACGAGGCGATATTCTATTCAAAGGTGTAAAGCTGAAAGCTCAAGGTCAAAGGATGAGAGTGGACCTCTATGCATTGCCATTGAAGGCAACTGATATAGTGCTTGGATGCCAGTGGTTGGAGACTCTTGGTCCAATCACAACCGATTATTGGAAAGGAACTATGGAGTTCGGGAGATCAAGCAAGAGGGTTAAGTTGAGGACTGAGAATCCAGGCGAGTCACCAGATGAAGAGGACAGGGATGGTCGAGTTGGGAAGCTGAATTTCCTAATCCTTGTGGACAAGGAAAGTCTTGAAGAGGAGGGGAATGATACGGAAGTGGCATTGGCATCCGACGAGTCTAGTGAGGAGCGAAATGGCAAAAGGTGCGCATCGGCACTTGATGCGCACGAGTGGGCGAACAGACCGCGCACGCGGGGTTGGCGGGGAGAACGCGGGCGCAAGATGGACGGGTGCACGGGTGCACGCGGGGGCGCCGTAGGCGATCTGGGCGCGGGCGACAGATGGGACGCGCGGGGCATAGACGGCAGGAGCAGGGCGCGCGAGTTGGGCGGAAGCGCGGACGTCCTAGTCCGCGGGGGCATAGGACAGGCGTGCGCGGACGCGCGCGAGAAGGTCGGCGGTAACGAGGCGCGCGCGATAGCGCGCGATTGCAGCGAGGACACGAGCGCACGCCTATGTGCAATAGGCATAGGCGAGGGGGTCACGCACGCGCAAGAAAGAAGCGACGCGGAAGAGGCGCGCGCGATAGCGCGCGCGTGCGCGATCAACGAGGGTGACGCGGACAAGAGAGGCGGCCGAAGAGTTTTAGCATGTGGGGAATTTTAGGGAGCTTCTAGATTTGCTTGGTGTGCAAGCCAAGCAATAGTTATTTGGTAGC